ATATATATTTATATACATACATTCATATATATATTTAATAAGTGGATTTATAATTAGATATATATATATATATGCAATCACTTAATTATTCTATTTACATTTAAATCTTTGAATTTATAGTTTAATAACATGATTGGAATTCCATTTGGTATAGTAGTTACTTTTGAAAATACTACCAAGCATCTAGAATCTTTTCTAAAGTTGCAATATTAAACAAGTTAAGTTTTTTTTATCAATTTAAAAAAACATGTCTTTTGTAAAGATCTATATTTAAAATTTAATATTTTATAAGTTCTAACAATTTTAATAGGTTAACTTACAATTATGTAAATAAGATTTTCAAGATATTTCTTCATTTTTTAATTCTATCTTATTATAAAAATATTTTATAATTAAACCATATATATATATATATATATATATATATATAATCTTTTTGTTTTGTAGCATTAAATAATAGCTCTTTAGTTTATAAAATTATATTACTGAGAAGAAAAAAATTAGAGAATTTGCATCAATATTTTATAGAATTTGTATGCTCTTATTAATATTACATCTACACTAATGTACTTATTATTCCAATTTCTTTTGACATTGCCTCAAATCTAAGACTTTAATAACTTTAATCTTATCCAAGTTGTTTATTTCAATATTAAGTTGTGATGAATTTTGATTTTCGGCAGATTTATTGTTTTACAAGATTTAATTCAACAGACATGAAAAAACAATTGGAATTTTATCAATTTCAGTTGTTTAGACCAATATGCAATCATTTTCTAAAACTTATTCAGTAGAGTAATTAATCATCTAATGGCTTCAATGATATTTTATTCATTCATGTCAACATGAAACCTAATTACCAATAAGACGAAAAAAATAGAAGAAAAATAAAAGAAAAAAATTTGTTTAAGTATTTTAACTTAAAACTTCATTATTTTAGCTTTGGTGCCAATTATACAAAACTTTTGTGGTATAAAAACATGGTTATAAATTTTTTTGATACTCAATTTTTAACTACGAATGCAGGGAACAAAATCAAATAAAAAAAACATGCACACAATTGGTTAATTCTGTATTATTAGTTATTGCTAAAAAATAAATAATTAAACACGTGCACATTATGAAATACACATTTTTAGTACCGGAAAAAAGCATGATAAGTTTTTATGCATGGAAATCTAAATATAGTTTCAGAAGACACCTTCTGAATGAAACTGAAAAGTTATTTTATTTAACAAGAATATAGTTTTTGAAACATGAGAGAAATATTAATTTTATTTGCATATAAAATCTTGCAATGATACTTTCAGTATCCATATTTTACCACAATATTTGGTGAATGCGTTATTTGCCATGTTTGATTGGTTGCTTTACACAAAATGTCTTAAAGAGCATGATCATTTGTACATTCCAAGTACGCATCGCCAACATAAATGCTTACTATTTTTGGAATATGTGCATTATTTCGATTTTATGAATTTAATATCATTTAGTGTTGTCATTTTCAAACTATAACATGCCACCCACAATTGATACTTGAAATTCAAATTAACAATTTCTTCATTATTCATCCACGTTTTGGCCTTAAGAAAATATTTCGATTTATAAAAGTAAAGTTTTTACTTCGAAATTCGATATTTTCCTAATTATACACATCCAAGAACATGCAAATGTTTCAAAAAATTGAATACATTAGTTTTTCTGGATTATTTAAATTACATTTAGTTTTCATAATTGTAATGTTTTTATAAAAACTAAATTAGAAATGTTTTTAAAGTAATTGTCTTAAAACATTTGTTTTTGTTTTTTGTTTTTTGTTTTGTTTTTTTTTTTTTTTTTTAAAGGTATCTAAATAGGTTTTTTGTTTGATCTTTTTTGGGTTGCATAGTTACTGTATATGTTAAATAGAAGGATGCCCAATGTCATAATTTTTAAAAGATTTGGTATCAAGAGGTTTTTTCAACTATGTAATTATTATTTAATATTCTTTTGAAAATAAAAATTTAATACAAATTAGAGTCCTCAGTTAGATACAATATTAGTTGATGATTTTTGATTTTGATAAAATTTATTTAAGAATAATTTTATTTTATATGTAATATTATTTTATGAAATAAAAAATGAATCATTTTAGTAAAACAAAATCTATCATCACAAATATATAGTCATAAAAATCTAAAGTTAGTATACATATAACAAATCTATAAAATTATGATCATTTTTAAAATTAAATCTGCTAATATATAATTTATTAAAATCAACAGTGTTAATTTATCTAAAGTAATATGGCTTTGAATAGTCATTTTTTAGTTAATAGACATAAAATTGCGCTTCATCATTAAGAGTATATAATTGTAGTTTGAATTTTAAATAACTAACTATAAAATTAAACTTATTCATATTATTATAAATATATCTTCTAATTTTAAGAACAAGAAAGTTTGTTAATATATAAATATAAAATTATTTTAGATTAATAAGAAATACTATTATAGATTATTTTTTAAAAAAAATAAGTTATTTATTATAAATTTATTATTTAATTGTTTTTTAGAAAAAAAAAGAATAAAAGTTTTAGAAAAAAATACAAAATTTTCACACTTTTTTTAATATAATTGTATTCATTGCAAATAATGATATATTTTTTCTTTATAAAAAAATGGTTCTAAAAAATTTAGACAATAGAAAAATTAAAATGTAGTAGATGGAGTTTTCAAATTTACTTTATTTTGTTTTAAAAAATTAACATAAAGTAGAAACTTCAAAAAAATTAAATAATTAAATTTTTTCAATGGTTCAAAGGAGCCATATGCCACCTTTGAACCAATGTAGGACACTTAATAGAGACACAACAAGACTTGCTTAATACCAATTTCAATGGATCCAATGACTTCTTTATTCCTTATACAAAACAATCTACAATTAAAGTATATAGTCAAAGTGATTGCAAGACTTGGTGAAACTACTAGCGCACAAGATGCTATTGTACAAACGGCCAATCATCCAATTCCAAAAGAGAGCCTTGAAGTCCCTTCAATGGCTTTTTATGTGCTTAAGACTTTCCTAAGCACCGCTTAATATTCTACTTTTGTTATAATGCCACTAGTAGTTATTGTAGTAGGTTTTTTTGGCGCAACTTTGTAAAATCTACTATTGTTTTGTAATTGTGCCAACACCTAATAATTCCTAATGGCATAGCATTATTTAGAATATTTTCTGACATCACCATGGCGCAAACAATAATATACATGTTTTTTTACCTTCACATATGATTTTGTATTTTTGAATTTTTATAAAATATTATAAACATGTTTTTGTAATTTCTTCTATTTAAATAAAAAAAAAATATATCTTTAAATTAACAATTTTTTTAATAATTTATCAAGTGTTAAAAATAAAAAGTATAACTATCTATAACTTTTATAACTTATATAAATATAGGTTAGCTATCTATATCTTTTATAAATATAACTTAATTTTTTGTACTAAAAAAAATTAAATATTAATTTTAATATTTATTTTTATTTTTAATTTTAATATTAATTTTTTTTTCTTCTTTGAAAGAGAATATAGTCTTTCAAAATATATATTTAAACAAAAAAAAAAAAAAAAAAAAAAAAAAAATCTTGAATCTCAAATCTATTACAATTATGTGCAACTTACAATTGATTTGAAATTACACAAATTAATTGTATTAGACTGAAATATAAAGGACATAATTTTAAATTCTTTGAATTAAAATGGATAAAACTCAAATATGTCATAAAGTTTTTAAAATGACTAAATTTAGTGAAGACAATAATTTTACCACCATGTCAATTTTATTACTAATCTAACTTCTAAGCATTGCTTGAAAGACCACCTAATATTATATTTTTTGGAGTTAATAATAAATTTATTTCCAACCATTAATATTACGTCTCAACATTAAATCAGACTAGATTGTTACTAAAAAGCATGTTCATAACGTATAATTGCTTATAAATATAGCAACAAGTCTAATTCATAAACTTTCTATCACAATTCAACAACCAAATTTAAATTTATTGAGAAATTATTTATTATGTCAAAAAGACTATCTAAAATTGATGTTTTAAAAATGAATAATCTAATTAAATCAATTTTAATCAATCAATCAATCATAATCAATCAATTAATCTATAAATCCAAGAATATACAACATGTATATATTAGTCATGGATTTTTCATCTCAGACAACTGTATCTTACATTTATTTTTAAAAATGCATAAATTATAAAATAATAATTTTTTATATCATAAAATTTCAATTATGTTGTAATATACTTAATCAACTCCCATTTATCAAAGGTAGTAACTTTAGCTACATAAAAGTTTAATTTTAATGATTTGTAATTTTGAATCCAAAAGATTTTTAATGAGATCTATACTTTTTTACTTCTACAAAATGTATATATATAATTTTGGATGGTAAAGAAATTTAGATCCTATACCTTTGGATTTTGCAACCATGTTTGTGACTAACCATGTTAAAAGTGTTTCTTAATTCTAGGTAATATATATTGTTAAGTTGTCAACTTTTGAAGTTTAAGTTTGATCTATTATTGGAACTTACTGCTTGTAAACAGTTTACACACAAGGTATACAAAAAAAACCAATATTGTTTATCCCTCGTAATCTTTTCAATAGCTTCTCCCACAATCGCTCTGTATATATACACACACCAGTACATACATAAACATAAACTAGAATTTGAAATGATGTGATGTGTTTTGCCAAAGACTTAGCGGCAGCGACCAGAGCGCACAGATTTTGCAGAAGAGTTGAAACAGAAATGTGACTCTGATCTAGCAAAGAAGCTTGCTGACAGCTATCGCTGGTCTTCTGCTAGCATGCAGCTTCTGTCATATGAAGTACTCAAACGAAAACACTTCCACTAAAGCAGCAGCTTCTGGAATAGAAGGAAATAGACAAACAGCAAGCGAAAACGAAGCCACGGACATAAACTCTTATGCCTCTAGTAAGTGTGAGAATCGTGCTTGAATCAAAATGAAGAAATCATACATCTCCGTATAACAATACATGAACGTGAGTTCCAAACCTACAGATGAAAACCTGAGCTGAAGGCTAAGTAGTCTGAGAGAGAACTTTGAGTTTAATTCTGCCTGCACGTTATGTTCCAGAGTTAGGACTTCGCTGACAATCCACTCCCCTTGCGCTTAGAAACGGGTGACTGAGAATGTGCTAACATTTCCATTTGTGTTTCTATCGACCCCCAAAAACCCAAACCACTTATCGGATTCGTGTACGCCTCCCCGGCGCGGAAAATAGTTGTTTTCAGTGCTGCTTCTGATTGATACGTTCACGGATTCCCATGGTGGTAAGGATTGTTGAAGGAGTTCATTGGTTGCAGTCACGTTGGTGTGGTGGAAATTCACCACAATTAATAAGAAGAGAGAATGGTTCACATTTCGTTGACAGCATCCTTTGTTGAAGTCTCATCCGATCTTAGATCCACGCTAAGAGCCCTCTCGAATAGAGTCACTCCTACTGCCACTCAGGCCTTGAAGCACTCAGCTAGTAAACTCAGAGTAGCGTGCTCTGGAAACTCACAATTGTAGAGAGCATTTTTTCTGGTCCTCCCCTGCTTCTTAAGCAGACTTCTCCATCCAGCGCAATCTGGTTCCACGATTCTCAAGTTGACTGATCACCCCCGGAGCTAGAGTCGTATGCAAACCTATGAGAAGCTTTACTTTCTTCAAGCTGCCGCATGCCAGAAGAGTTCTAGCAAAGCTATCACTCGTAACGTTCTTCATGTGAACAAGCTTCATATCCTGGATACATGACATGTTTGCAACTGCCGTCATCCCCAGATCTGTCAAGGCAGTGTATGAGAGGTTGATCTGCAAGGCGCCACCTCCAAAAAATTAGCACTTAACAATCACCTGAACAGAAGCTGAATGAATCGCAAACGAGCATGTATGCTACTATACTCCAGTGCGAGAAGTACCTGTCGCAGGTTTCGACATCCCCGGGAAAGAGCCAACACCCCGGGATCTCCCACAAACCTGCAGCGTTTGATGTCCAACTCACGCAAGTGCTTGCAGGATGCACCAATGTAGGAGATTCCTACCGAGGTTATTTGGCTGCAAGCGCGTAATTCTAGCTGCACAAGGTCTCTCAAGAGGGCAAGGGAATGCAAGCTTGCATCTGTGATAGACGCACAGTAAGATAGATTCACCACTTTCAAACGATCGCAACCGCGGGCAATTGCTGCCACACCATCATCACTGATCCCAACTGACCTGAAAAGTTCCACATATGAACATACATGAATCTTCATGCAAGAAAGAAAAATATGTAAACATAGAAAGCAAGACGTTGCGACAGCTGCGGAACGGTCCATGTCCATATTACTGATTTAGTGAAACTTTTGAAGAAATGACATAATACACCACCACAGAGAAGATGACAGCAAGCCTGAGGTAGTTTCTCGTGATTCCTCTCGTACACGGAGAATTTTAAAAAGTTTTACTTTGAGTCCCTGCCGGAGTAAGACGCACCTGTAACAATCAAATTCCCGCAAGTTTTTGCAAGTGGAACTAATACTCGCAAGCCCAGCATTTGTGATGTCCATGCAGTAACCCAGCTTCAAGAGCCTCATCTCAGTGCATCTAGAAATCGACTTCAATCCTGCCACACAAGCGACCAATTTCAATCACCATCAGGCAACAGATACTTAGGTTCTTAAGAAAACATTAATGATGGCGCACATTGAATGTTCTTTTCAACCATCACCAACAACATCAAAACCAGAGAAGAATTTGGGTTTGCACATCTAAGTGAGAAGACCTTGTTCAGACAAATTCATACAAGAATCTATAGTCCATTATCAATACGTGCCTGAAAGTATAACACATAGAGAACGAGAGTAAATAGAGAAGCTTTCACAACGCACCAAGCTCTTACCATTATCATTCAAATTGCTGTCTGTAAGATCTAGCTCCTCCAGGTGAGCAAAATTTCTCCCTATCAAAGTTAGCCCCTCGGATGTGACTGACGGACAATTTTCCATTCGTAGACTCAACAGGCCCTTGCAATTCGCTGCAATAGCCTCCAAAGCTACATCCGTGATATCGCGGCAACAGGTAAGGTCTAGCTTTTGCAGGCCAGTGCAAGCGGTCACCACACCCACAACACTGGCGTCAGTCACACCCTGGCACTTGCTCAAACTTAACTCCTTCAACTCTTTGCACCCGATCAGACTCAAATTGACCCTCCCAATCGCACAGCCATTTAGCTTGACCACCTGTAGAGTCTTCAGCTTCTGGAAGCTAGCGAAGAGCACGTCGCTTATCTGTAAAAGAACGAAAATCGTTGGTTGATTCCAAGTTTTGGTTCTTCTGATGCAGATACCATAAATTTTGCGTCACTAATCCATACAACCACTTACCTTCTTGCAGTAGGATAGATTAAGCTCTTGAAGCCCCAGCGAGATACCCGTCAAAGCGAGAATTCCCCGGCTACTCACGTTTGAGCACTTCGCCACGTCCAGTTTCTGAAACAAGAGAGACGGTACGCATTCCACTCAAGCTCAGTGCCAACAGATTCCAGTACTTTATGCAGTGAGAAAGTATTTCAAGCATACCAGTCGTAGCATACCACATAACTAGTTTCTTTCAATGGCTTCTTCATAGCGTGAAAAATACAGTGCATCTCTGGCAGCTTTACCACGCATCCCTGTTTGACACCAAACCAGACAACGTATTGGAAAAGAAGTAACGAAAGCTGCACCTGTAATGACATGCATCCGCTTCTGAGACAACTAAGGCCCTTGTCGGTGACGTTGATACATGATATAATCGAAAGACACTCTAGATTCTTCAGAAGAGCAAGTGACGATACTCCTTTATCCGAAACCTACTCCGGCACCAAAACCCACGTCAGTATGTCGAGTCTGTCCAGAGGTTTACATATACAACAGAAATCTAAAAATCTAATGTGGGATCCGCTCATTTTTAAGTAAGCACAATTTCATTATAATACAACAAACGCCAAGCGAGCGAGTAAAACCTATGGTAGCAAATCACCTCAGTGAATGACAGGTCAATGTTGCGAAGCTGCGGGCAACCGGTTGCAACATTCTGGATGCCACTATCTCCAATTCCCGAGCAATACTTCAACCCCAAGATTCGAAGCTCTGTGCAACGACGCAACGCAGACAAACCTACATCTGTAACGTCCCGGCACGAGTTCAGCTTTAGCTTCTGCAAGTGCTTAAGCTTACTAAGGACGATAACCTCCGCATCCCCAATTTGTGTACAATGCGTCACGTCCACGTCCTGCAGAGAACTGCACTCCACGAGACTCTTGACTCCAGCAATCCCGAATCCCTTCGTCCTGATGAGCTTGATGGAGAGAAGTCGCGAGTTCGTGAACTTGGCGACGGTTGCTAGGCACTGATCAGTAACCTCGACGCACGAGGACAAATCCAGATGCTCCACTTGGCGGTAGCGACTCAGTATGGGTTCTAAAATCTCAGGGCGCATCAAATGTACGTAATTCCTACCCGCGGCTTCCAGTGAGAAAAACTTTTTGCACACCAAGCACCATGACTGGCGATCTGCTATATCTAAAAGCCGGGCTAGCACGTCTTGAAGATTTTCATCTGCAAGCATCAATATCAGCGGCTCTTGGCGGCGCTGCTGCTGCACTTCTCTAACCATAATGGCCAGGACTAAGCTCTAAACACACAGGACCAAATACTAAACCCGGCTACAACACCTGTTCCAAAGAATCCGTTTCTTTTATCTTTTTAATATTATTCTTTTGTTTCTCAATCCCGAATCCAATAATCGCTAAACCAGAATAGGAAAACCAAACACGACCACAAGTTTTAGCTCGAATCCTACCTTCGAGTTTTAGCATCTAACCCTATTATCAACACATGGGAGCCTCGTCCGGAACGAAACCATCCGAGGCTCGAAGCATTGCACCCACATTCTAACCCAACACGGTCACTCAAATTCCACAACCAGCGAAGTCGTGTCGACCTCCGAGCTTTGCGGCATCGACCAATTCCAGATTCGCAGAGTTCCGCAACCGCTGCTCAACTCGCAAATCCTTCTGTTCCGTAAGCCGCAGTCAGAAAAACTCTCATGGTGCCCCGTTTCCAATAGTAGGCTCCTTCACCAAAGAAACTAAGCCTCTCAACCCTCTCATCTTCCTATGCGCTAACATCCCGTCACCAAACCATTCTTCCAACGTCGACACCCAGAATGTAACTCCAAACGCGCCGACGGGACCCAGCAGAAGCCACCTCTCAAGGGGGCACAAACCTTTTCTTCGAAGAGTGGGTTAGATTGGGGTTGCACGGATTTCGACGATTATAGTTCTACATGGCTTAATATAAATAGACCTACCCAAGTCAACCCCCCCCCCATTACATTATATTATAGAATTCTTCGCAGGACCCCTGCGAAGAATTATACTCATTCTTCCTTCCTCAGGTGCCCCCCTGCCTGCATGGCATCGTAAACCGGCGGGAAATGCTCGCGTCGGTTGCCAACGTGGCCGAGCACGTGGAGATTGGCGCTGCTTTCGTGGCATTGCTTGGGAACACGCGGAGGCGGTGGCTTACGTGGCGATCTCTTACGTGTCCATGACTCCTACGTGGCATTGGGTTCCATGGTATAATCTTTTTAAGTACATGCGGATTGTGATTGTGTCTTTTTAGGGTTTCGGTTTGGTCGGGGAGATTTCAACATTGTGTAAGCGGTCTGCAGTGGCATGTAACAGAGATTTTAGTGATGGCTTCATTTGGTTTACATATACTTGGTTGCAATGGTATCAAAAAGCATTTAGTCATAGTAATGTTACGTGTTACTTTTATTTGCCAATATAGTTGTTGTTACAAAAGGTAGGATATTGGATAAGCTGTGTAAATGTAAAGCTAGTATTATTAATTCTGATGAAAGCATGGGCTCATGTATAGAATAGGAAAACATAACAACTTTTTCATTGCATAAAAAAAAAATACACATTTATTTTAACAAATATTGGGAAGAAGTGCAAACATTTTTGAAAACTCACATGGAAGGATTTATGTAGTGATATGTTACCAATTTATAAAGATATGTATGCATTCCCACACACACACACACAAATATATATATATATATATATATATATATCTGAGGAATGCAACCAAAGTGGATTTTTACATGATTACAACTACAAATAGCAATAAACATAAAGATTTAAAGAAAAAAAAATCGGTAAATAATGAGATGAGAAGGTCTTGAGTCTTGCACAAGCACACTGCTACTTGTACGCATATGCATATATATATATATATATATATGTAAAAGTAATAATACCAAAACTGAAACCAGTTGATTTTTACTTAATCTTCTCGAGTTCAGAATCTATTGTGCAATGCCACATGGTTATAAAAAAACCACTCAAAGTATTTGTGGACTCACTGCGTAGTTTATACAAAGATAGTGATATGTTTTGAGTCTAAAAATTCCTCTAAAGTATGATGGGGATATGATTCCTCTAATTTTTCTGAACATTTGAAACTTTTCACCGTGGTCGTTGCAGTAAAACTTGCCAAAAAAAACTTTTCACTCTCAAAAGAAATTAAATCACATATTCGAAATCCATGTCGAACACTGACCATATGAGTGAATCGTCACCAAAAAAAAAGTATCACCCAAAGACTATATCTATATCTAAATATATATTTTTACATGCAATAAGCCAAGCAATGTGTCAACCTGGGCTCTGAGGTTTACAGTGGGAGGCACTTTGCCGTCGATGCCACTTGGAAACCCCACTTGACTGTATGCTTTCGCATGAGGAGTTTCCGGCACACACACTTGGTAGCGCTGGGTCAGGGTTTTAGCTCGTCGTGAGGACTAGGGTTTGTGAAAACTTAGCGGGTGCGTCAATTCGAAGATGCGAAGCCCCGACGATTGCGAGTCCTGGGAGAAAGGGGGAAGCTACTGGTCCTGTTCCATCTCGTTGCGCCTGTTTCGTCGTCTGGAGGGGCGGGGGTGAAGTGTGTCAGTGACTGTGTTAGGTGGAAGGTCTAGAGTGGTCGTCTGTGTGCAGACGGTGAGAGTGGAGGAGGAGTAAATGTCTGCGAGAGTGCAAGTGTGAGCGTGGGGTGCTTCTTTTCTTTGTGGAAACATGGAAGGAGGTTCGATGACACTCAATCCGCGATCGGTCGATGAGGTGTTTAAGGACTTCAAAGGGCGGCGATCGGGGATGCTGAAAGCCCTCACGACCGGTAGGTTGAAGAATTGTGCATTTTGTGGACTGGGGGTTGTCGCTTCCAATGAGTCGAACTGCTGCAGTTTATCGGCTGGGCTAATTATTTTAATCCGCATTGCGTGGGATGAGTGTGGCATGACCCCTGGTTCGGTTGAAAAAATTGTGGGAAGCTGCTAAGTGGCGAATTCCGTGATTTTTTTTCTGAGTTTTTGAACTGCATGATTTGTTAGAGGAACATTGTCTTCGGTCCGCGTCTATTATCTGAAACGGTTTATCCGTTGTTCCGTAGATTAATCAGGATGTGGTCTCATTTTTCATTCATGTCGAGAGTACTTAGAGCCTTATTTTGGGTGATTATTTCATTGCCAGATATGTGTTACTTTGTCCGGTTTACGAATTTTCCACGCTCTCCTCTCAGTTGGTCTGTTTTCGTGGTACTCCTGCAGATGTCGAAGAGTTTTATCTGCAGTGTGATCCAGGTGAGGGTTTTACCCTCAGTTCTGAGAAAGTGTGCCCGAAGGATGATTTTACTGTTACGTTTGTGACGGGTTTAGAGTCGCACTGTGTCTGCATTGTCATCGCTTTAACAGTGGTGAGATTTGCGAGCATACACAAAATGATAGAGAATTGGCCTTATTGAGTATGGCCGCGTAAACTATTCCTGTGGAGCTATTTTGAGGCTGCTGTAAAATATCAGGTTCTTCACAGTGCAGTTAAGAGCACATTAATTTCTGGGAGGGTTTTCAAAGAAAAATTCTCGAAACGTTTTCGTAGCATTGGTCATGACACACAAAGATTCGTGTGATGGGCTCTGAATCTTCTTTATCATCATTGCAGAAAAGGAGAACTTGTGTTTGTATGGTTTCCCGGACGAAGCCTGGGAAGTAAATTTACCAGCGGAGGAGGTTCCACCTGAACTTCCTGAACCTGCACTTGGTATTAACTTCGCCAGAGATGGCATGCAGCGTAAAGACTGGCTTTCTTTGGTTGCTGTGCACAGTGATGCCTGGCTGCTCGCTGTTGCTTTCTACTACGGAGCTCGGTTTGATAAGAACGAGAGGTCTGCTGTCTCTATTTGCTATGATGCTGCTGTTGCCTGTATTTATTGATAATTAAATCTCTCTTAATGATCTATTACATCCTAGATTGAGAACACCACAGTAAGCTTACACTGGTGTTTGTATTGACGAGCAAGGTCATTACTTGAGCTGTGTTCTCCTTCGTTGAGGATATGACAATGCACCTTGGAGAGGGACATCCTCATCTTGCTGTCTGAGGATTTTCTGGTGGCTCTCACAGGAAGCGTCTTTTTAATATGGTAAACGAGCTCCCAACTGTATTTGACGTAGTCACAGGGAAAAAGCCCGTGAAAGACAAGCCTGCTGTTAATAACAACTCTGGCAACAAAGTCAAGTCTGCTACAAAGGTGGTGAGTGCTGTATAGTTATATCATAATGAGTGGTGCTGTCCTTCTCTATGCTCAAGTTTATCTGCTGGGAAGAGCTTAGGGTGAGAGTTAAATTGTGAAATATGTTACAAGGAACTTGAGGAGGCGATGTTGTTGACTTTGGGACGTTCTCCCATGTTATTTTATGGAGGGCTGAACTCAACATTTGGAAGCCACGATATTTCTACATTACACAAGTGTCCTCATGAATTGATTATGCATGGCGTTGTTTTTCTGTGCAGCAGCAGGTGACTCAAGCAAAGCCCGCAAAACCTACCCCACCACCTCCCAAGGAAGAAGAGGATCCTCTTGACGACGAAGACGAGGAGGAGCATGGTGACACTTTCTGTGGAAGTTGCGGAGGGCCTTATACCGCTGATGAGTTCTGGATTGGATGCGATATTTGCGAGAAATGGTTTCATGGCAAGTGTGTGAAAATCACACCAGCTAGAGCAGAACACATTAAGCAATACAAATGTCCTTCTTGCAGCAACAAAAGGGCCCGTACATAGCATATCTGGCCGTATTTTCTTTGTATTGCCAGTCCACAGAATGCACCATTGGTCTTGTGTCTGACTGGTGTGCTTGAGAAGCCCTTGTGCAAGCAATTAGGGGATTAGCCACAGTGTTGAAGAGATTTAGTTCATTGCATTTGAGAAGGCTGAGGATCCATTCTTCTGATAGCCTAGCGTCAGTGGAGGTACATACTTGTTCGTTGATCATTTAGTTTTTAGGATACAGATTACAGGTGCCGTGAGACTTGTTGAGTGAATTTTTCTGCACAATTTAAGAGTTCGGCCATGCGCTACCATTGCGCTTTTTAAAGTTACTCTTTTATTTTTTTTATTTTTTCTGGAATTAACCTCCGATCGTGCTGAAGTAACTGGTGGTAAACAGCTTCCAAATGATCTACAGGAAAACAAAGAAGTGGATTGTAATCAGCCGGTTTCGATTAATGAACAACTTCTATCCAAAGTTAAAATCAGACGTAATGATCGAGATAATTTAACAAGCTTCTAGCCAAGATATAGGACCTTCTCAGATACCACCTGGAGACTACAGATAACCTTTCAATCCATTCAGTTCCAACAGCAAGTGCCGCTTTTGCACCAAACATTACTGCCCACGACGGATCATGTATGAAAATATCAGACAGTTCACTTCGAAGTATTAGGAAGTTCACGAAATTATTACCAGAGTCTGCAACGCTCCCTGACTCCAAAAGCTTCATATTTTGTAACGTAAAGACAGAGCTATTCAAGCAATACTCTTCAATAATTGTGCTGCAGTTCACAAGGAAGCCTGCAGACGCAAATGACTATTCAAGAAGCAATATCCCTTGCCACAAAATATTGGTCCTCTTTCTGAAATAAGTTCCATCACTGAGATGAATGATGGCATGTTGCATTAATGGCAAGGACGTGATGAGTTCCCAACCTTAACCAAAGCAGCGAATGGAGACATTGAATTCCTCGGTCAAATAATCCTACGCTCGGTTGAAATACTTCGCCAGAAGAATATCCGCCACGATTGATCTACTCAGTGTTTTGTGCTTCTGCTGTTCAAATTTCCTTGCAGCATTCTCTTGCTCAGTGTGGGTAAGCAACTTATTTCAGAAAGAGGACCAATATACGGAAGTATATTGCTTACCCACACTGAGATCCTCAGTCATTGCCTTGCTTCAATAGATTCCAATTGGTGCCGATTACGAGTGTATCACTAGTTCCAAGCGACTTTATAGTAGCAAAACAAGCTTTGAGGGTGAATCAAACTACATGCATTAGAAACAATTAGTTGTAAATTTTTGCTGATCGAGTAGAGATGAATACCTAGCGATTGAGCGTGGTTGAATAGTGGCGCTTCCAGAATACGTCTAGGAAGGCGTTGTAGCTGCAATCCTTAGGGTCGCATTGTAATCTCACAACTTCCGAATGGCCTGTTCAAACCTCATTTTCAGCCCAGAGATACTAATAAAAATAATCCTACACAGGAAACCCACAGTGTACAATCTCTACAACATCCTCATTCATCACTTTGTTTCCCAAATCTCAACACAAATAAAGGTAATCAAATCTCTGATTGTCCATGACCAACAATCTAACTTCTAGTTTGCATATCTATACATCTTAGAATTCAAGTCAAGAATGAAAACTAGTAGATGATACATGGATTCCTCATAGGTGTGTTTACAATGAACATCTCTCTCTCATTTCTTCAGGAATGTGTTACTGTGTGTGAGTCTGTTGTTAGTATAGTTTCATAGCATGTTATTACAAAAACATATGCAACAATGTATTGTGGACTCCTATGCATCACTGGATCACTAATAACATACTCAACATATCAGCACTAATATAGTGGCTTTTGTGGCTTTGTTTAGATTTACGTTCTTTCTGCATAGAAGAACGATGATGGAGCTGAGACCATATTTGGCTAACTTTTTCGACTTGTCTAGTTGTACTAGTGAAGAAAAAGGAGTGCTAACTTTCTTTTGCAGAAGTCTAACAAAAATTTAATAAATATGAAGTGTGTTTTTGTTTACGAAGAATTAGCTGATTAATAACAATGATAATATTATATAGCTTTACATATTTTAGATAGAATACAACACATCCAATAAATTGCATTTTTTTTATGGATTCAAATTGGATAATGAATGCACAAAATAATGACTAATTTAATAAATTATACATTTAATTTTTTTTTTTTACTTTCTCATTTAATTGGCACCAAATAATGTTTAAGTTTTATATTGTTATTTGATACCCAATTCAATAAAAGAATCTTGAATATGGTTGCAAATGACTCTTTGATAATTTTGTTATACTTTAAATGATACTCAAGACTTAAAAGTATTTATTAGCAAGCACAATGGTATATAACAACATTAATAAAGTTTTAGCTGGATATTAAATTGCATTATTATTATTATTATTATTATTATTATTATTTTAATTATTTGAAAGAACATCAACAACAACAATAATAATATAACATCCAAAGTTGGTGAATTAAAATTTTAGTTATAAATATGAAAAATATTAATTAATTTAAAATTTTATATATTAATAATTTTAAATAATTTTAAATATGAATTTTACAAGCTTATATGATCAATTATTAGTAATTAGAAAAGTCTAATTATTATTAATAATTAGACAAGTGCAATTTGTATATAACCTCAAAATATCATACTATTTTCTTAATATTCTAATGACATTATGTATGAGATTTGTAAATTATATGCATATATGTATATATATAGAAATGAAAGGAACCAACATAATTTTAAAATTTATCTACTATAATATTGATACTACTAGATATAATTTTATAAATATCAAATATGATTATATTTTCTTTTGAAGAATTATTTTACCATATACCTTATTTAAATTTTTAAAAACTAAAAAAATTTAGACTAATCTGAACTAATTTTTATTTTACCATACAATCCTTTGTTGGATATGCAAAAAAATATTTAAAAATGGTACTAACTAATAAAAAATCTTCTAAAAATCTTGTTTCAAAAAATCTTGTTTCATTTTTTATCATACATAATAAATTATCTATAAATTTAGTTTATAAAACTTTATTGTATGTAGGATATTATCATTTTGATTTCTATTGTAGTAACATTTCACACTACTGATTAACATAATTGAAGAAAAGAAAATTAAACCACATTAGACAAATATTATTGACATAATCTTCATGCTCAATGAACCCCAAAAGATCTTAGTCACCATAGCATCAAATTATCAAGACATACTCCATAATTGTGAGATAGTCAATCCATTGTTGACCCCCCCTTCTCTATTTCCAACCTATAGGGTGGAGTATTTCCATTAATCTAGTGACCTATTATTGACCATGTTTGACATCCATTGGTCAGAAATAAGTTGAAATGATGTTAAGCTATAAGTAATATATAAAATTCATTGTATTTGGAATGGATATGCGTGAACTATTGATATAGGTGGCAATTGTTAATTGGTTGGGGTGGAATAATAGAACATAATTAGATGCCACACTTCTTGCTTTTATACAAGTTGAATTCTTAGTTTTGTAATCCACCACTGGTCGAAATTGGATTGGCTTACATGTTGGAAATGGGTCAAAGAGAATCTTCAATTAAAACGTTTATATAAATTCCGTTTGTGAACCAAATTGTGTGAAAACACTTGGAATCCTCCTCATTTCTATTTCTATACAAGGTATTTTATTTATTTATTGTTACACTTATTGCAAATATGCTGAAATGCTTAAATTATAGAATATTTCCATACGAGGTATTTTATTTATTTATTGTTACACTTCTTGCAAACATGCTGAAATGCTTAAATTATAGAAAATGGGTCGTCTACCTTACACTCCGAAATGGTGATACTAATTCTAATTCTAGGGTTGGTAAATAATATGGTGTGTGTTAACTGCAACTTCTGCAGCTTCTGTTATTCAGTTACAACTGAACGGTGGACAATGTGGCAAAACCATGTGGGTGGGTGATGGCGAGACGGCGTTGTAGCTGGACCTGGCACTGCGATGCAGCAGCAGCAGGTCCACCTCGTCATGCATCTGCATTCCGCTTTTAGGCCAGTCCACCGAACAGGAGTCGTTCAGATTCGACGGAGACGATTCTGTAACATGTTGCAGCAGTTCCGCATCCACATGGCGCTCATGGTCCTTCTCAATCTAGCACTTCGACACCTTGACAAACAACTTCGTACTTCTCCACCGTATACAGAGCTCTCTCTGCACTCAGAGCTCTACAATCTTGTGGTGTATCAGAATTTGTGAAGTACACGAATCTTAAACCTTCGGAATATCGTAGTGACATAGTTTTCAGATACTAGATTGTTAGTGTAATCAATCCTTAGTTCATCGTTTTTTGTTTTTTTTGATCAAGTAGTGGAAAGATGGCAACCTCGAGTGTGCTGAGTAGGAGTTGCTTGCAGACGGTGGCTGGGCTTCCGTCGCTGGGAGTTGCGCAGGTGAAGGCCAGGGCGAGCAACAGCTCGCTGTTAACTGGAGTGGGGCTTCGACCAGCACGATGCTTCCAGCAAATGGGTCGCCCGAGTTTGGTCGTTTCCGCAAAACAGGAATCTCCTCTGGTGAGTACCACCATTGTTCGATGGTCATGTCTTTTTCATGATTTCCATCTCAGCTGTGTGGTAATATCATTTCAGGAACTGCTAGCTCACTGATTTGTGCATACTTATCATGTGATTTGGATTTCGTTAATTGTGTAGCCGGGCACCAAGCGTGAGCCAGAGAAGAAGGACGACCCCCTCCGCATCTTCGAGGGCTCGCCTGCAGAGAAATTCTATCGACCCGAGAACGAGCGACGTCCGGAGGACGGCAACACGAGCACGAATAGGTTGATGAAGTTCGATGGACCCTCGCCCGAGACCATCAACAGCCGTCTGGCCATGCTTGGCATCACCTGGGCCTTCGTTGCGGAGATTCTCACCGGGCAGAGCGTGTGGGAGCAGGTCATTGAGGGCCGCGGTTTGATTTGGTTCCTGTTTGTGGCGCCCATAGTCATCGGCGCCACACTGATCCCCATGTACAATAAGGAGTCACCCGACAGCCGAGAGAACGGTCCCTTTAATGCTCAGAACGAGAGGTGGAATGGTCGCGCAGCTATGATCGGACTCGTGGCACTGCTCGTCACCGAGAACATCTACTTGAAAGGCCCACTTCTGGGCTTCATCCACAGCTCCCTCAATTTGTAGACAACTCGTGAGCAATTGTAATGCGAAGCGGTTTCTGAAGGAGGAAACCCGAGTGTATATAGTCGTTGTAGAGAGGTTCCAAGGGCGGATGCCTAAGGGGGCTACAAAGAACTCCGTCTGCAAATCTGCTTGTAGGCCTACATCACTGTGCGCTTGTAATTTGTGATTATTCTGTTTAAGTTTCTAACAATGTGACTTGTGTGAGATGGACGTCCCACTGTGTCTATTCTGCTGCACCAAGAAGGAATTTTTCATTGAGACAAACGCAATAAAAACCTAACTTAGTGCTGCTCTGGCGGTTTTCAATCCTTTTAGAATTGATTTGCATCACTATTTCATATGTCTGCATCTAGATTTCGACAGTAGGTGGGAGAATTTACTGTAAAGCAACGTGTTGCAATTTCAGAGATTCGGCGAGTACAATTTCTTATCATCACCTCTCGGAAAATTCAGGCCAATGAAACCCTCGAGAATTTATCGTTGTCTTTCTGAGTAAACAACCGATCCTGCAGATGTCCCTCAGACAGGGCTGCGGATGATTTCCGGCCTAAGGACCTTGGATCGCTCTCTAATCACCTTCTCCCGTGAGTCGTACTTGGCATTCTTTCACTGCCACTCGCACACTAAAATTTTCAACTTCCACCCAGTTCAAAAAATATTTTTCTCTGCTCACCCCAGAAAAGTCCTGGTTTGCATTACATGTACGCCTCTTTCAGAAAATTGTATTCCTCTGTCCCCAACTCTGAGGATGATTCTATGGCAGCCACAAATAACCTGCAGTCACTGAACTCAACCTATAAGGTTGGAGCATGCGAATGAAACAAGACAGTTCACTTTTCGAATTTGGCCACTACTATGGTTACTGACGTCTTGAAGTTAGCTACAATTGACAAATTTCGGGCTATTTCATTGGCATTACGTGAATTATCAACGCTTGAAAGCCGCTACTGCAGTATTTCAGATTGTTAGAACATTCTCAGACCTTGGATTGTTCACCTAGGATTCAAGATTGTGGAAGATGGTTTCAACACTAATGAAGACTTTCTAACCTGTACAAATGAGCAATATGACCATAATTCCCCATCGAATCCAAGGAGAATGCTAATACGAATTGTGGGTTTTGAATCTTAATTGAAAAGTTTTGATTGTACAAATGATTCGAACTGACGTAAGAAAGCAGACAGTTGCTGAGGATTTTCCCAACTTGAATTATATCATTGCCCACTTGTATGCGCAACTGTAAAATTTGGGTCCAATATATAAACATCGCTGCCTCGCAGCTTTGCTCTATGTCCAATCTCTATTACTCATCCTGATAATATGGCAAAAACCATCGCATTGTCAAGCAGACCAATGACCTAAAAATCAGATGAGCTGATCAGACGCGAGCTTCAATTCTACAGTTTCCACGAATCATATCCCGACTATTGTACATGGCCAATGCACATCATATGTGCCTTTCAAAGGCAGGCTCCCATAGCCTCATTGGTTTCTGTAAAGAGCTGAAGAAGTATAGCAAACGAATTCCCGCAGATGCTTGGAAAAAGGAGGAGCTACAAGACGACCTGAATCACTTCTGTTGCAGAATCAATCCATCAATTCTTACATCAAGCTCTCTGTGCTGAAGGAAGACGAACGCAAAAGATTGCGCTAAAAAGGAACTGAAAATTTGTGCAAATTTAGGACATGATACAGAATTCGATGCAGTATATGCAGTGTGTCTAAATCTCGTCTTGTTTCTTCACATTCCCTGTACCAGTTGGAGAATACATGCAGTTAGATTGAGGAATCTAAGAGTCCAGTCGCAGAGACAGGCAGACATTCATTGCGCTGAGAATGGCTGATGCAGAATAATTCCCAGAGAAAAGATCGACAAAACTCTGTAAAAGAATTAGAGCAAGGCAGTTACCTGATGAAATGAGGCGGGGCGAGAAGTACCAACAACTGGGGAGTCCACTTTGTATTTCCCTTTGCTATAAGAGACCTTACATTTGGACAGTATCTTCTTCACAGCCTTGCTCATGGATGTCTGAACGCAAATCCCACATAGAATTTGAAGAAACAGTTGAGTAGACTCCAATTGAAATGCACCAAAGAACGTAACTCACAATGTGGAATGACCATCACAAGCAAGAGTTGTGAATGAGGAGGAACGGTTGTGCTCACCATCACGGTGGGTGTATCCTCCGAAGAATAGCGTCGCCTGCTTGACTTGAACCTCTTCAACTTAGTCGACGATTGCGGTGCGGAGGGCGACAGAAGCTCCACAACTGCAGCGTTGGTGGGTGACATGACTTCGAAGTCGTGGGGTAGTGAGAGAACTTGCGCCTCGAAGCAGCTGCGGCTGTTGGCAGGCAAGCGTAACGGGGAGAACACCCTCCCGAAGCGAGCCGTGAACTCGGAATGACGTGACCTTGACCTCGGAACCACAATTGGCATCTGCTGCAGCTGCTCCGCTTCAAGGGGGATGGCATGCGAGAGCCGGCTTAGGGGCGGGGCTGAGTGCGGGCAAACACGTCTACTGCTAATGCATGTCTCGGGCGTGGTTTGGGGTAATTCGTCCCCGTAATATTTAGGGGAGACAGTTTTTAACCAAAGCTCCGGGGATTGAAATGGCTTTGGAGAGGACCATGGCTCATTCTTGTACGGTTGATCATCGCATTTCAGAAGCTTCATGTTTGTCACCGTGCTCGTGGCTGCCCCTACTGCTTTTGGGTCGACTTTGGCGGCCGCAATCTCTGAGGAGGGTCGTGGCGGACCGAAGTCGCGGAAGGATAAACTAACGCGTCGTGACTCAACAGGCTTGCACGGAGCTGTCGCGTTCAGATCGTAAGCTGTGTGCATCTCTTCGAAATTATGCTCGTTAAGGTCGAATGACACGCCGGTGCTAGAGTTACGTTGCGATTCGGCCGCTGCCAGGGCTGAGAGTGAGACAATTCCAGGATCTGATCGCAGGGAGGGATTCGATGATGGCAAACTGTCACGGTCCGGTCCACAGAGAATGCTTCTCGGTGAAGACAAGTCACAACACTCTCCGTTGTCGGATTTCTTCCCAAATAGAAACGAATGAGACGACTTAGAAGCCGTGCTGCCAAGTCTCGAAAGCATTTGATCTGGCGTCGTGGGACTCTCCAGTCGACCAGAAGGTGAGGTTGGGGAGAAATCGGAGAGTCGCGACAGAGGATCAAGAGCCATGAATTGCGTCTCGTCTACATCTCCAGTCATCTCGCCCACACCGAGGCTCCCTAACGTCTCCTCCCTCTTGAAAAAAGCTGTATCTTCGCTCTTGACGAACTCTAAAGCCAACTCACCTTCTTCTTCAACACCTAGAAGTTTAAAAACTGCAGGTGCACCTACAATGATGGCTGGTGCGGTGTCGCCTGGCCATGTACTGGCGTTCTTATCAGCTGGGCTCGTGTGTTCTTCATATAATGTTGGCATATCAGCTTCACTTGATGCATCATCAGTAGCGGCAGATTGAGCGTCATTCATTGCCTCAAGTTCACCTAATGTAAGAAATGAGAGTGCATCCGTGACACTCTCAATCCCTGTTTTTGACCCGCCTTCAGGTGATTCCCACACTACGCCATTGACGAGATAGGGTCTATCCAGGACGGGCTTCACCTTAGGTGCCAAGTCCCTCGCAACCACACAGGAAATTTGCACGTCCTCTGTCGTGACGTGCTGAGTGTATCGCAACCTAGAGAAGCTCCCACGCTCGCAATCATCCTTCGTTTCATCTGCCCAAGTGGAGGAGGGACCTGTCGACGGATTGAGCTCGCCACAAAGACGTGACAAAGTGGAAGCCGCGATTGGGCTTGGAGTGGACCGGCTCTCTCCATTGCGAGTCTTTTTGGAGGTATTCCTGTACCACGGCAACTTCGAAAGTTCATGTAAGGAGCGATTGCTTATCTTCCTGTGAAGAGACCGCTGCGAATTGTCCAGAGAAAACTTGGGTTGACCTGGAGAGCTTCGCCATGATGCAAGCTTCAAAGTGTCGAACTTGCGCATAGCGTCAAACCACCGCGGTGACTGGGTTGTGATCTTCATCCACCGGCTGCTGCGCGACGCCGGTTGCTCCTTCTCTTCCCATAGAGCCAGACTTTCACTGTCTTCTGAGCGGAAACTGTGACCCGCGCTATTCGAATTCTGCAATGGCACCACGACGTTCGCACGCTGCATTCTCAGTCTGGGTTTCTCCACCTCCCGTCGCTCCGATAGTTCGTCACAGCACGCAGTGCTGTCCCGACGCGGGCTCGGCTTGAACCTCGGCGGTTGCATCCCTCCGTCTTGAACTCCTTCCCCTTCCACGACGCCATAATGACGATTTTTCTTCGGAGATTCGCTCTGATTAACAGCGTCTTTCACTTGGTTGCGACAATCCTGGCTACTGACGCGACCACCAGAATATTTCTGAGTTGCGTCTAGTCGACCCGAGTAAGTTCCCTGAGGACTCAGCTGATATTTCCCCATCGCTTCCACGCACCTGATCGAACAATTCTTCACGATATCCTTCTAGACATGCATGCGATCCCGAGTCCTTGACAGCAGATCCCCTGTACCATCTAAAGAATTATCACAGCACAATGCAGCTCCATATCCCAGAAACTCTCCAAATGTGAGAAATACCCTTGCGTGCTCAGCAAACTCGTGTACATTGACTCACGACCATGTGAAAACATGCTCCCGACTCACAGGTCTCAAACAACCACTCATAGTCGACGACTCCACAGTCGCGTGAGAGCCTCAAGAAGGGCTGGTCATGGAATGAGAGCCCCGAAAGCCCCGAATACAATTTGACGCCTGCGTAAATTCTGTACTGGTGTCAACTTCGTCCTTTAAATGGAGTCCCGGGCTACCTGATCGGAAGGCTTTCCAGGATTGACCCAAATCACTTTGAACTGGAAGGAACCAGAAAGTGGATAATTCTTCACATGCCCCTGCCCTGGAAACCAGGCACCCATCTCTCTCTTGCCGACGGTTTCGTCTTCCGTCGATGCGTTTGGATCGTCCAGCCTGCAGCGCTGCTCATCCCGCATAGCGAGGCCTCGCGTCGCGTCCTGCAATCGCAACCGTCTCTTGCTCTCGTAGCGTGTGTGAGTGAGAGTGTGAGCATGAGTATGAGTGTATGTGTGAGTGTGCCGCAATGGAAGTCGAAAAAAATTTACTCACTCGCCACTCTTGCATCGTCTGCTGCAGTCTGCGAGGAAAATGCTAAAACTGTCGTCTCGTTTACATAAATCCGGTGAAAAACCTGCACATTCCTTACAGCTTCATTCCTCTAGATTTTAAGTGAATGCAATGCCATTGAAAGTGAATTGTCCTTTGGCCTTTCAGCTGTTCATTGTTTGGGGTTGTGCCTTTGGACTTGGAAGATTGTTGTTGGAGTATATTCTTTTTCCAACAGTTCACCAAGTTTGTGATGGCATTTTTCTTTCATGTAAATCACTGCTATTCCGTGTTCTTAAAATGGTACATTTAATGTACTTGGGTGAAACTTTCTTCGTGGTGTTGTTGATTCTTCATTTGTGGCCTTTAAGATGATCTAAACTTGTAACTTGTGGGCTTTAAGTTGATTTTATTGTCATTTCAGATGACAATCAGATCTTAATGTCATTTTAACGTTATTTTAATGTCCAAAACATTCCAACATTCCATAGTTGATAGCAAGGTGGCAACAAGTATAGTGCTGAAGGCAAAAAGGGGAAATTATTATTCTATCTTCTATCTTACTCTTGCACCACCTTTTTCTTTAGCCTTGATAATGCATTTGTCCTTCATGGAGGAGTTGGTCAAGAGTTCTTTCCAATCGAACACTAGAATCCTTCCAAAAGCTTGTTCATTAGGTTGGTTCATTTTTCCCCAGTTTAGTTGTTTAGAATCTTGGTAACCATTTGTTGTCTTTTTATACTTGTTTCTGTATCTGGGCACGCATCCATCAATTCAGTGCGGATTTCTATTTTTGGTGATGGATAAATAATTTCATTTCATAATTTTGTAAAATGAACTTTAACATATCTTTCAGTGCTATTTGATTTTGTGATTGCCTTCAAGTTTGTCATTCTCATTATTGCACAATAATTTAATCCATGATGGCTTTTTGTTTCAAACACGTATGTGTTTAGAAACCTTGAAAAAATATTATTGAGAAATTTATTCTCACAATTTTTACTTGAAACTGGTAGATAATTATAGAGGTACTAATTAAAAATAAACTGCTATCTAAACTTTAAAACATTCTAAATCATTGTAAACTGATTAGTTTATTAGTACATTTCAATTATGTTGAAAACGTAGACTACTGATCTTTTTGTTCCATCTCTCTAAAATTGTTTTGACATTCAAATTCATTCATATTCTACTTTTGCATCATGAATTTGTGAAAAAAATATGATATGGTGCTTTTTCACCTGAATGGGTGTTGTTTAAAAGTTGAGATTTTTGGAAGTAGAAAAATAAAATATTTTTAACAAACTTTTCAAAATAAGGTATTTCTAAATATTTATTCATGAACAGGGTATTCTCTGTTTATGAAGAGGAATTAAAAGACAATGCATTCTAAGAAACTCTGTAAATTCTGCTCACAGGAATCCATATAAATTAGAAAACATGAAATCATTTCATGATATATATATATATATATATATATATACGCATTAATTCAAATAAAACCGTTGCCAAGAACAAACAAGTAAACATATTCAAATTGTGTTTTTATAACTACTTAATAATAATTTCTAATTTCTAAATTTTGATTGTTCATTCTATATTTTTTATATTTTTTATTTTTTTCATGAAGAAATGAAGAAGATAAAAACAATAAATAAATGATACTTACATATGTTTATATGCTTATAACCATTATTCTAATTTTTGCAAAGATTTCAATGATTTGTTAACATATATATATATATCTTAAAGAAGAAGACCTAAAAGTCTTGTTTGCAAATTTTTCATACAAGTAATTTCTACTTGAAGTTTGTACAACTTTAAGATGTTTTGTATTTAGTTGTAAGTATTTTTGATATTTTGAAACATTTTGAAAAATCTTAGGAATTAATATATATATATATATATATATATATATATATATGTGAATGAATGCAAAAATCAAGAGTCATTTAAGTAATTAATTTCTACATTTTTCTATTTTTGTATTTCTTAAAAAATATTAAAAATCATGACATATATATATATATATTAACAATGGCTCATGTGAATGAGATATAAATGTATAGAAAAAGGTATTGCGAATGCCACAGTTTTTGCTACAACCACCACAATTGGCTACTCTCTGAACATCCCTTTTTTTATTTTTTTAAAAATTCGTTATTCAAATTTAAAAATATTTCTATTATTTCTATTTCCCAAAATACTTTAAAAAAACACTTTAAATTTAAATAAAAATAAGTTGTGATGACAACAGCCAAAACTATGTTGGCATTAACAATACCCACAAAATATCATCTATAAAAATAAAATAAAAAGTAATACTAACATCATGAGAATTAAACAATTGCTCACTGACACATCCAACTTCAAACAACGTGCAGTTTTGTAAATGGCATTAACTCTATGACAAAAGACAGTTGTGGATATAACCAACTTCAATCCACACTCCACAACATGTATTCACATATGCACGTGTACACTGTAGTTCAAAACAGAGAGTAGTAAACCTTTCATCTTATTCCCCTCTCTTTTTATAATTAACTTAATTTGAATGTAATCCCAACTCCAACTTGTAATTAAACCCTAATCCACACCTCTTTTCCATTCAACAACTAATCTCAACATCAATTTATGGGTCAAGTGAAGATGAAATCAGAACAAGTTATGGATGAACGCGATCATTCATCAATAATAAATTTTCATCCTTTGAATGGATCCACGCAATAAATCCCCAAAGACTGATCAAAAAGTGGTGATGCAGAATATTTCTATTGTTTTTTAACCATAAAAAGTAAATATTTGTATTTTTGTTTTAGCCATAATCAATAAAGTGGGACTTCCTTCGAAAACGGTTCGCACCCAAAAAGTTAATCTTGAGTGAATACGAAGCTTTTTTTATCGGATGGATGTTATTAATTTTTCAAATGTGGGATTCAGATTTGGTAATTGGGATGCTTTTTCAATTTATGGGGATGCTGTTGCCATTAACACTGAGCTTGACATATTTAATGGACGCTTGGTTTGAAAGTTTAGGGTTTCTGGGCCTTCCGCGGTGCGGGGATAGGTACCCATGGTGGTAAGATTGGGAGTCCGTCGGCGCTCATAGGCGACTATTTCGAGACACAGTGGTTTGTAGTCGGCAAAATGGATCCAAGACTTTTTATTTTTATTTCTTTATATTAGTGTTGATGTTTTTTTTACAAAAAATTAGCTCAAGAATGAGTCTGTGTCCATGTTGGGTCTTTATTTGATATATTTTTGTGAGACGCAAATAAAAGGTCAAGAATTTTATGTAGGTCTCTTTAGAATTGGATTACAACAATGTCATCATATACATATATTTTAATGAAAACTAAATGTAATTTAAATAATCCAGAAAAACTAATGTATTCAATTTTTTGAAACATTTGCATGTTCTTGGATGTGTATAATTAGGAAAATATCGAATTTCGAAGTAAAAACTTTACTTTTATAAATCGAAATATTTTCTTAAGGCCAAAACGTGGATGAATAATGAAGAAATTGTTAATTTGAATTTCAAGTATCAATTGTGGGTGGCATGTTATAGTTTGAAAATGACAACACTAAATGATATTAAATTCATAAAATCGAAATAATGCACATATTCCAAAAATAGTAAGCATTTATGTTGGCGATGCGTACTTGGAATGTACAAATGATCATGCTCTTTAAGACATTTTGTGTAAAGCAACCAATCAAACATGGCAAATAACGCATTCACCAAATATTGTGGTAAAATATGGATACTGAAAGTATCATTGCAAGATTTTATATGCAAATAAAATTAATATTTCTCTCATGTTTCAAAAACTATATTCTTGTTAAATAAAATAACTTTTCAGTTTCATTCAGAAGGTGTCTTCTGAAACTATATTTAGATTTCCATGCATAAAAACTTATCATGCTTTTTTCCGGTACTAAAAATGTGTATTTCATAATGTGCACGTGTTTAATTATTTATTTTTTAGCAATAACTAATAATACAGAATTAACCAATTGTGTGCATGTTTTTTTTATTTGATTTTGTTCCCTGCATTCGTAGTTAAAAATTGAGTATCAAAAAAATTTATAACCATGTTTTTATACCACAAAAGTTTTGTATAATTGGCACCAAAGCTAAAATAATGAAGTTTTAAGTTAAAATACTTGAACAAATTTTTTTCTTTTATTTTTCTTCTATTTTTTTCGTCTTATTGGTAATTAGGTTTCATGTTGACATGAATGAATAAAATATCATTGAAGCCATTAGATGATTAATTACTCTACTGAATAAGTTTTAGAAAATGATATTTATTCATGAATCAATCAAATAACAGTAGAATTAACAATGAATGATGAAATCAAAAACTAGGTTTGTATTTTGTGTTTGCTTTGAAACGTATACACCAAATGGGTGAGGGAGATTTCGATTTGAAAACAACAAAACACAAAAAAAACATATATTACTAAAATTAACAAAATTTTATATGTTAAAGGTACAATGTCAATAACGTTGTCATTACATTATAAACCACATGTGTTTACATATGTTTTTCTCTGCTAAAAACATCAGACCTTCCAAAAAATAATTAATTCATTTGTTGTAAAGATTCAAATAATATCTGTACAATAAATATGTTTATATGTTGCCAATACTATTATTTTCCTTATTTAAGAGGATTTGAAAGCATGGAGAATGTTCTATGCTTTCTTAAACTTGAATGGAATATCGAATGTTTTAAAA